AACCCTCCATACAAGCCCGACAGTTTCGGGCGTATGGAGTTTTTAGGGCTTTGGGTTTAGGGTTTAGGGTTTAGGCTTCAGGGCTTAGGGTTTAGGCTTTGGGGTTTAGGGTTTAGGGTTTAGGGACTTAAATCCTTTGGGGGTTTAGAGGTTTAGGAGTGTAGGGTTTAGGGGTTTAGGGTTTAGGTAGGGGTTTAGGGCTTTGGGGTTTAGGGTTTAAGGGTTTCGGGGTTTAGGGGTTAGGGTTTAGCAATCCGTAAACCCACAACCCTGAACCCTGAAACCCTGAACCCCAGACCCTCACCCCTAGAATCTTGAACCCTAAACCGTAAACCTAATATAAGGGCCTTAATAATTAGACTAGGGTCATGGGGCCCATTATACTATTATTATGATAAGGAAATGGTATTGGTAATTATTTAGGCCCCTATATTATGTTCGTCGATGCTTTCCTTGCACGGTGAGATCCCAGTGCGCCATCCTCCGCCCCGCACCCCGAACCGGAACAGCAAACAGCACGTAAGTGAGAATTCTGGTAACTGATAGGTTAAGGGTTTAAGGTTCAGGGTTTAGGGAGAAGGATACATAAACCCATAAAGCTTTCTTAACTAAGCCCGAAAGTAAACGCAAAATGGTATGCTCGCCTCCGGCTTAGGACTATGAACATTCATGCCCGTTTGGCTTTGGGGTTTCAGGGGTGCTCGGCTATTAGGGTTTAGGGGTTTAGGGGTTTAGAGGGCTCTGTTGAGCACATAACAGAAGCCTCACACTCTCGGCATCTTCCATCGCTTCCGTCAGCTGCAGCTTTATAAAATGATCAAGGGGCTGCTGCTGGGACCGTTCAATCACGGGCTAAGCCAACCTCAAAGCCCTGAATGCCCGAGTTTAGGGTTTAGGGCCGAGGGGGTCAGACCCCTGAATCCTAGCAGTCCATGGCCACAAAGCTGCACCCCAACTACCAGGTTAAATACCCACACAAGGACTGGCTGAGACTGAATATATAAGTGTCACAACTCTTGTCTTCAGGTGCTGCTGAGTTCAGGGCCCTGGCTTTATTTGTCTGTGGAGCTTTATGTAGACTTATGAGGACCCCTGATTAGTAAAAGCCCCTTTCTTCAAATTAAAGGCCGTTGTATAGGGTCCCAATTATGATCCTTATTCAGGGTGGGGGGAATTCGGAGTCCACATTGGGAGACCTTGTGCCCTACATTTGCGCTATAACCTTCGGGTTCGCCGTCTTAGAGCTCAGGAGACAGATCTCCCACACAAATCGCAAAGGCCTGAATAATTAATTGGAATGAGGTTTTATAGGGTTCTGCTTTGAAGGGTTTTGCAAGAGTTACTAGACTACAGGGTTCCTGTTTAGGGGTTCCATAAGGGCTACTAAAAGGGCTTGAGAAGGGTGCCATATTGATTAAAATAGATTTTTGGTGGTTTACCGTGGTAATGTAGGGGCTTTATAATAATTAGGATAATGAGGGTTTTGGAGCATATGATACTATAACTCTAATAAGGAACCCCCAAAATAGCATTGGTAATTATTTAGGCTCCTATGGTACACTCTTTATAGTGGAACCCTAAGGTTCTACGTCTACCTGAACCGCGTAACGCCTCCAGTTCAAAACTTCTGAATTATTCATGATTCCCCTCATGCATGCCGATAGAAAGGTCGGACCTTTTGCGGGTTGAGGTGGGGTTTGAGGGCTTGGCTTGGCGTCCGGGGATCTAAGGCCTGCAAATGTAGGGCTCTGGGCTTTTAGTCCACTGCGGCCCCTTGAAGTGGGGAGCTGGTACATCCCATAGAAGGCCTGCGCACTTGTCTCACCTGGGTGTCAATCGGAGTCACGAAGAATAGGGAAGCCGACAATCCGAAAAAAAAATACCGCCTTTACTGTAAGGACCCAAAATAATAAGGTTCAGTATGCCACTACTACTACTACTACTACTCCTCCTCCTCCTACTACTACTACTACTACTACTGTACTACTACTACTCCTACTACTACTACTACTACTACCACTACTACTACTACTA